TGATCAATGTTGGACGGATCGCAAGTTGTCACAGTGTTATGTACCGCCAGTGATATTTATCGTGCTTTCGTTTTCCAGGACAATATTGTTCCTTCGTAAACACAAATATTTGAATCTCGTTAAAATTTGTTGTCTTGTCATTTCTCGAGTGAACGTGGATTTACCAGTGTAAACCTCACCGCGTTTCCAAATACGTCAACACGATTCGATTCCTCATTGAAAAACAGATTAACTACGGTATAAACGGTTATGAAAATGAGATTCGTATATAGATTTGGAAATCAGACTCTTGGATTGAACGATTTAGTAGAGGACTTTGAACGCGTTCTCATTGATTCTCTAATTATGATACATTTGATAATTGAAAGTAATTGTAAGACTTTTCGAAATTCTGATTGGTTCACTCGACTGTTTAGCATTTTTTTTTTTTATGTTTCATAATAATCCTATAACAACGATGTCAAAATTTAATAATATCAATGTGAAACAATTATAACAGCGTGAATCTGTAATGTAGGAATATTTTTCTTTATCTTTCAAGAATAATTATTCTTGTTTTTCAAAATCAGAAGAGAAAACGATCAACAACTGTATTCTTTATTATTTTTTAAATCGCGAAAAAATTGAACGTACAATTTTTATCAGATGCCATCTCCATTCCCGATCTAATTCAAATTACATCGCAAATAAAATGATAAACGGTACGATGCATTAAAAATCGATTATTAATTAACAATTAAACGAGGTGCTTTTTTATATCATCGTTAAAAGTACAAAATTCTTCGCTATAAGTGTAATAAGATTCCCGCGAAGAGTCGAAAACCGGCACGGTGCAAATACTTTATACATTCACCGGAGTCACGTAACTGTTTTACCGGGTTAGCAAGCACGATTTACAAAAGTTACAACGTGTCGGTGGCCGGACGTGTGCCGGCCGAAAATCTCCAGCTCGATTGCCGATTCTCGTCGCATCGGCCACTCGAAAATCGCGAGCTGTATTTGGATCGGGTGAGCATTCCGCCCGACCGGTCGAACCGATTCGTCGATCTTGGCATTGAGTCGTTCGTACAGAAGCCATACTGCGATGCAACTTGCAACTTGTCCTCGACATTGTGTCGTCACGATCCTCGTGTATCCCGTAAATGGAGCGTTTTCGCAAGGCCGTCGAAAAATATTTTTGGAGATAGTGTAATCGATTGGCTAACTAAACGTTGTTGAATATGGATAAGAAGGAAGCGGTTAATGCGTAACGTACTTCGTTAAATAATCATCGAGCTGCATCTCTCGAAGGTTACGAGAGGACTCGTTGAACATTCAGATTCTGTTAATTGTTTCGTTGCTGAAGGATAGTTTTGCAGAAATATTCGATCGAAAATTTTAAAGTTGAAAGATTAAAAAAAGAAGTTCTTTCGCCATAAAGGATAGTTTATAGAAATATTCGATCAGAAGTTTTACTAACGTGTTGAAAACTAAGTTGAAAGATTAAAAAAAAAATGTTAATTTAGACGTTAAGTTATCTTCGAGAAGATCAAAATAATTTCGTTGAATTTCAAGAATTCTATCGTCGTGTCTTCTATCGTCATCGGTTTTTCAAATTGATGAAATAATACACATAGCTTTCAACGAACGTATCGAGGTGCAATAAGTAAAATGCATTATGCACAAGAGACGGATGCACGCGATACTTTTTCATTTGGTTTAACGAGCCATTCTTCCCGGATTTTTAAGATAAAAAGTGGGAATCCGCGAAGGACATTCCACTGGCACGGTTCACGAGCCGGAGAGTGCACCGACAGGTTCGTTTCATTGTCAGGTGCAACAAGAAATCGATTAAAAATGAATCGAGAAAGCTCGAGTATATTGTTTTCTTAATAAGCGAATCGTTTAAGGCTTTTGTAAGTCTCTTTTTATCAACGTTATATACATTTATGAATTCAAAAGTAGACGCGATCCGATAAAATGACTATTAGGATTGTGAAAGGATTTTTTAAAGATTTTTTTCTCTAACGTGATTTTTTCTCTTTCTCCATCGCGGAAAACTTTCCATTAATAACGAGACTTTAACAATCGGATTTTTAATTGAAACGTAGCCTTGAAAGATTCCAGAATTCTGAGTTTTCATCGACAAAAGATAAATCCCGTGATTCATATTATTATTTAATGATATTCTCCTTGTAAAGAACGAATCTATTCAATGGCACAGCAACATTGTTTCTTACTCTTACTCTTATTAACTACGATCGGCGATTATAATCGATTTCCGCCATCATTTTCCACGTTATTTAATTAACCTGAATAATAATTGATAGTCACGCATTGCACAATTCTTCGGAACGGCCATTAATAAATTCTCGACTGTTTCGAAAACATTGATAACGTCGAAAATGAGTTTAAGAATGACAAACTGTTCCGGAGAAGAAAATTCAATTTTCTTTATCAGAAAACGCGACAGATATCTCGAGGAGCTTAAACAAGTTGTCTAAGAATATCTTATTATTAATAGTTCCAAACAAGGAACGCTCGCACGTAATTTATATCTCTGATTTCATTGAATCTCATTGATTTACACTGACTATAATTACGCTCTATTTACGTCGTCGTTAATATCTTAAAGGGATTTCTCATTTTCTTGTAACCGTGATGCACGAGCATATTCAGAACCTTGAACCCTCGTTGGTACCTCGAGCATACGATGTATGATAAATCTACGGTTGGGACGGGGAGGATTGCGGTCGCGAATAAGGGAGATAATGAAAAAATGAAGAGGACGATGTAAACGGCCCCGTGTGGGAAGGCTTGCACGTGCAATTTACAAGTATCCCTTTAATTGCCGTGGATACGATTACCTTCGCCAACGGACCGTGTTTATCGTGGATATTATATGAAGAAGGATAGCATTGTCTTCGAATTAGTCTTCGAAACTCATCGATCGTGTCTTTCGATCAATTTCGATGATTGCATTGTTGCTGCGATCGTTATTGGCTGTGATTATAGACGAAAGAATTTCCATCGATCTTTCAATGTCTTTCTGTGAAGTGTAAAGATTCGTCGAAAAAAAAGTATTGAAAGTTATCGAAGCGAAAGAAGTAAGCGTTTCCAAGTTAGATTTAATTTTTGACAAGTTTGAATGCGGACGGTGCGAAAAGTTAGAGGTGTTTGTAATTCGATTACCCGGTTAATTCGCGCGTCATCCGTGCATCAACGAGGATGCGATAGAGAGGAGGATAGAGTGGAATTGGTGGGAGAAGAAACGGCCTTGCGACTTTCCATGGCAAGGCTGCACTTATTGCATCGAGCATGCCATCACAACAAACTAGGTTCACTGTACCGGATTGTTTCTTCGGCAGAGCGCGTTTTATCTTTTCTTGATTACTCTTCTTGTTACTTGTCTACATACCCCTAAGCGTTATACAAACTGGTTCAATCGAGGATAAGTTTATCTTTCGCTTTCGTACTTGGCGATGCTTGGCGACTGTTTTTTTTTCTTTTTTCGTCTTTTTCGCGTCTTTTTTGCCATTTCATCGAATTTTCTCTATCAAATGATAAACTGGATTTTACCAAGCGTAACGATTCCATTCCAGGAGGAATTCCTCTTTCAAACTGAGACATTTATAGGTTCGAAGAAGAAGTCTGGTCTGGTCGATAGTTTCTCTTCGGATCGAGAACTGGTTCGATCAAACTGACCATGATTTTCAAGGACATACTTCGTTTTTACGTCTTACGAGCTTCGAGAATTTGAGAATATGAGTCGAAGTTCGATCCGTGGCGAAAATCATCACGAAACATTCTGAAAAGGACGAACAACTAAACTTCTTTCGACTCGTGTCGGTCATTGGATATCTCTTTTTTTAATTTTTTTATTATTCGTGAGTGAATTGCAAAGATGACGAGACGGTTAACTGTACGCATCGATTTCCTGAATCGCGATTCATCGGACAATTGATTTTAATTCGAGGCCACGCGTTTCGAGCAAACAGTTACATAGCTGCATTTTTCCCCTACTGGATGAGTTTTCGCTGTGAAAATTGTCACAAATTGTCAGAAAATTGACTTCACGAATCGAAAAAATTACTATTTTCTCGTTAGAAGAATAAGAAGATTAGGAAGGAAAAAATTACACGAAACGAATTGCACAAATTAACTTTACAAATTATTTTTACATTAGTATACACATATAGATGGAGATTTGAAAAATTTATCAAATACGTTTCAAAGAAGTTCACGGATATTTATTCAAATTTACATGTACCAAAAGATCAAGTATTAATTAAATCGTTACTTTGATGATTCGGTTGCAATCTTAAATTCTTTTATTTCCGGATACTTTTCGTCCGTAAAATCGTTAAATCACAGACTTCGCGAGAAAATGTACAATTAATGATACCTTTCGAGTTGTTTGCCCCTTTCTAAAGCACCTTTTACGTTATTTCGAAGTCAAATTAAGTTAAAAAAAAATATTCAAAATTTTTACGAATATTTAAAGAACATCCTTGAAGGGAGAATTTCAAGTTTTTTTTTTCCATCGTTATACGATTTGTAATTTCTACCTTGTAATTTCTGCAACAAAGATATTTCAAAAGCGAATTTAATTGCACGAAAAAACCATGAGATGTATCTCGATCTTGAAATATTTCAAGGTTTCTTCGAGTTCTTTCATTCTATTCTATTCTATTTTATTCTTTTATTCTAGTAACAACAGGTGGCAAAATGGAATGGTTTTATAAATAGGTCGTATAACTTCTTAATGATCTGTCGTTATTCTGTCTTTTTATGTACCTTTGCCTAGTTTACACTGCATTTTGTATTACACGTTTATATTCGACACAAATTTATGATCGAGTAATATATTGCTACACTGTCACTGATGATTGAAAAAATAATTCGTAAGACGTTTCTGACAGATGTTTCAGGACAGATATTTATTACAATATTCCGGTATAATATATCGATTGATTTTCAATTTAAATGAAATAATATGAATTTTCTTGGAAAATGTAATTTTCTTTGATCGCAGAAATACCAGGTGGAGAAGTTTCAAGCGAATTTTTCTTCTTCTATTCTGGAGCATCTGGCCTTCCAATAAAACTTTTAAATGCGATCCACGACACATATCCTTTTGTTTTTTGCTCGATTCTCGAGGAATCGGGAACACCGTCGACACGGGGTCCGATTGATTTGTATTCAAAGCGCGAATCCCGTGTGAACGGGGCTTGAACCCTCGCCGCGCGAAATGTTTCATTCAACAAGGAAAGGTACTTCACCCAAATCGCACGGGCCATTCCTGGTAAATCGAATATCACGTAAATCTGCGATTAAACTAATCCGCGACCTACGTATTCCGCTTCGACGTCTTTCAAATATTCATAAATAATCGTCTTAAATCGGATCGAGAAACGGATTTTTGATAAAGCCGATAAAAATCATTCGACAAGACGAAGGATACGAATAAAAATTATAGTAATCTGAACAAGTTAATTTAATTGCTAATTTTTAATATATAATTTAACTTTTCGAGTTAAACTAAAATATATAAAATAATATACAGAATCAAATATGAAACTTCAAATCTATTTTTGACAACATTCTCAATTTTATCATCAGATCTTAAGTTTTCGTGTGACATAATAATGTCGTGAAATGCTGCTTTTCAATTATAAATCAGTCAACTTCAATGCCAAGATCACCGACACTGACATTGACTGTGACGTTATGTCACCACTCTCTCCTCTTCTTTCATTCCGAGCTCGGAGAGGCCGCATTCTCGGATTATGTCACTGTTCATGTAATCCCCTTTTCACTTCAACCAATAGAAAGGAGGAAGGATCACAAAGACATGGAGCATAGCTCGGCCAGATTTACCTTTTCAACGCACACAGCTTTCTCCACTTCTCCCTCTACTTAACTCGAACACCTTCCTTCACAGCTTTCGATCCATCACGATTTATTTATTTCGTCTCTCCTTTCCACGGTTATTTCGCGATGTGTGCATCTTGACCAGTTCTAAATGAACGGATGCGATACGAGGCTGTGCAGCATCGCTGTTGCTTCTGACCAATGATATTTATGACATTCTCTGTATAGGTGTAACTCTCCATATCCGGTGTATTTCATATATCATCGTTCATAGATGATAATTTTGAGGAGAAAAACGAAAGAGCATAAATTGCGTGAATGAATGAAGAACGATTTTTTCGAAATGCGAAATTTTTCGAAATCTCATCATCGACGTTGGCTCTTTCAATGATTTATTCTATTCGATCTCCTTCAGTTAACTAAAGAAACAAAAGAAAAAGATTGTGATAGTATTTCACTATTGATTAATCCAGCAATTGTATATAATTCAATATTTGTAAGAAAAGAAATAATACAATTTTTGTGATCGAATCAACGATGGATATATCTATCCATCATTTTCAATCGCATCGATAGTCTGTCGAACAATCGTCGATGGTAGCAAACGATACATCTCCGTCTACTTTCGAAATATCTAGCATTCACAATCCTCGCGTGGGGGTGCAATCAAGGGGGTATAGATCGAAGATAGAGAATTTCGAACAAACGGTTTCTTTCCTTGTTTCATCGCCATAAACGCGTAGGAATTATGAACTCGCGTCGAATTTTTATTTTTTATTGTTTCAATCGTGTAACGAGATAAATTCATGAAATGATAAGATAATTCATGGAATGATAAGATAATTCATGGAAGAATATAATTTTTCGATAATTGTGATTGCATTCGAGTTACTGTTAATACTGCGATAAACGATTCGGTAAACTGTTATTGATGACCAGTAATCGTTGCATTGGCTGCATAGAAAGAATTGGTTTAGAAGAGAATTAAGGAATTTACAATGCAGATTGTAGAATGCATAGCCAAGACGATATACATAAACATTCACTTCTCGTCTTTCTTATACCGTTTACGAGAATGGTGATTTACATGTGTTGGTGAAAGAATCTATCGCGTTAAATCATTAAATACGCGTCGAAGATCAATGCTAAACGTAACTGTAAAAGTGAATCAATTATCAGCCGGGTATTCAAATCGTTTGCCTAGCACGTGTAAGTCTATCGAATAACAGAAAAATCGAGGTCACGGATCGGTTTGTGGAGACGCGATCGAAATGAGAATCGTTTGATCCTGAATCATTGATGACGAGAATTATTCCAGCCAAGGTCAGGAGACAGTTAGAATCCTTTGACCATCGCTGATGGGGGAAGATTGGACGTAAGCCAACCAGGACATAACAGTGAACTGTATACGGCTGCTTATATTCGCTTGTTTATACGAAATTCACAACTGAGGAAATCCACGCCTCTTGCCCTAGAAAACAAATTACGTCATGTTCTGCTATCCCGTTAAAAGAAGTTTGAACACCGAATTGAATCTGAATTTATATGATCGTCCTTAATTCGTTTGGAATCGATAAAATTATGATTGATTTTTATCATAGCGTTACTACATGAATCGTTTTAATTTCAGACACGCTGAAGAAAAATCATGTGGACAAGCTTAGTAAAATTAGGCGTCGTAACGATATTAATTTCGTCGACATTTGCCAAACCAGGTAAGACTTGATCATTGATTCGAAGTTTGAACAAAAATTAGTTCGAAATATTCATGATTTGCAATAGAAATAACATAAAAGATAGAAAGAAAGAAATATATGAATTATTTATTTTTTTAACAAGCCGATGTACACAAAACACAAATATGATTATCGATTCTACATAACTATTTGTAACCATCATCTTTATTTCTTATCATCATAATCAAAAATGTTATTGTTCGCAATGTCTTCAAATTAGTTTTGCGCAAGATACATAGCTTTGAGTGTATCGAAAAAAAAGATCACTAATATAAAATTCTTCATACAGATCATATATAACCAGCTAAACTTGAATATTCCGAATAGTTGCTAATTTTTTAAAGAAAACAAACTTTGAATCGAATTCCGTTCCAATACAAATAATCCTTTATATTATTATTATTTCTAATAAATATTTTCAATATTTTATAGATCAAAATATCATCGATTTCTCTAAATTTTTAAATGGTATCGCGTGTATCGAAGTAGGATATCATGAGGATCCTCACGACTGTAGGATATTCTACAGATGTGTCGATTGGGGATACGGAAGACCTCTAAGGAAATTTAAATTTGAATGCGCTATTGGAACAGTATTTTCGAAACACAAAGGAAATATATGTACTTTTCCAAGTGACAGCGGTCGTCCTGAATGTGGTGGCCTAGATACAGACATCACAACGAAGAAAATCACAAACACAAGTACAACTGCACAACTTACGACTACGACTCAACGACTTACGACTTCTATCGAATTATCAACTGGAAAACCTAGCAACGATCAGGGTCGAAATCAATGCGTCCAAGAAGGATATTTCCCGGACTTAAATGATTGCAGAAAATTTTATAGATGTGTTGATACAGGATCCGGAAACTTCATAAAATATGAATTTGAATGTGGTGTTGGCACTGTCTGGGATCCAGATATAGAAGGTTGCAATCATCCTTGGGCAGTATCACGGGATGATTGTAAAACAGGATCAAACACAGGAAACGACAATGCCGGACAAGGAAATAATACATCTGACGCTATAACTAAACCAGAAACTTCAACTATATCAATATCGGAAAATACAGGTATTCCCATAAAATTAAGCATACCTCATACTCTTACTATATTCCTATTAAAATTATAAATATATTTAATTAATTAACTATATGTAACATATCTTAAACTTCTGGCATATCAGAAATAACTGATATATCTGGAACTCCTGGCACATCTGGTACCTCTGGTATACCTGGAACGCCTGGAACTCCTGGCACATCAGGAACACCTGGAATTCCTACCTCAGGAACATCAGGTATACCTGGAACGTCAGGAATATCAGGCACTTCAGGTATCTCAAGCACATCTGAATTTCCTGGCATATCTGGCACACCTGGAAGTCCGGGCACACCTGGAAGTCCGGGCACACCTGGAACTCCCAGTCCACCAGGAACATCAGGAAGTCCTGGCGCATCAGAAAGTCCTGGCACATCTGGAACTCCTGGCATATCTGGTACTCCCGGCATATCTGGTACTCCTGGAATTCCTGGTACATCTGGCACTCCTGGTACATCAGGAAATCCTGGCACATCTGGAACTCCTGGCACATCTGGAACTGCTGGCACATCTGGAACTCCTGGCACATCTGGAACTCCTGGCATATCTGGAACTCCTGGCACAC